AATACTACTATTTTAACTTTTAAAAAGTGAAATATGCCTCTTCGTGCATAGGTAAGGTTCTAGATATGTGAATACATAGAAATTAACTGGTATGTATGTAAATCTTCCTAAATATTATTGTCATTTGAGTAATAATAATTTGTTTAATTTATGTACTTCTGTTTCCAGATTGACAAGGCTGGGACAGGCCTGCCTGAACTGCCATCAGTCCAGAAATTTGATATTAATGAAGATGAAGAGAGTGATGAAGATGCTAATGGATATATTGATGAGATGATGTATGATGATGATGATGATGAAAGTGGCAGTGATGATTAAATAAAGCTTAAGCTTTGGTTGATGACTATATATATATAAGTTAAAGCTATGTAGAGTCCCCAATTTTTGACAGTTGATCTATTAGTGGAAGGTTGGTTGAGTGTATTATAAACATATTAATAGCACTTCTTAACATTGATGATGTTGTCAGTGAAAAGCAGAAGAGAATTTGGTGTTGCATTTTTTTTGGGGTGTAAGATATATTATTATTGTTATTTTACATTTTACTCTAGATGTTATATACATATGATTATATCTATGCATGATTTTTTTTTTTTTTTTTTTGTGCATTGAGTTTAATGGTATATATTGTGTAAATTGGTGGGTTTGATGCTTGCCATGTTGTACTTACATGTGGTTTGATTTCAAAGAGGTCTAGACATTGATGGTATATGGAGTAATCATTATAATTATTTTGCAATGATGATATATTGCATTTTTTTTAAGGTAAGCTATTGTTAAGCCATTATTGTTATATGCATATTTATTTTGAATGTGAAGAATGAAATCTTGTAAATGGAGTCCTTTATATGATATAAATGAAGTATAAATTTATTTTAAATTTATTTCTTAATTTTATAAGGGGTTTTGTATCAAATGATGTAAATTTAAGGCTGATAAATGAATAGTGATTTAATGTGCATCACATATAGTTGAAAAAAAAGGAGAAGAAATTTAAGATATGGTGTTTGAGCTCTCTTTCAATTCAAAAAAGAAAAAAAAATGGTGATAAATGAGGCATAAGAATAAAAAATAAATATAAATATAAATTGATGAAATTCATCCTCAACTCCTTGGAGACTTGGGGCTTGTTTGGGGCAACTTAAAAGTGCGGCGGTGTTTTTGAAAACGTCGTCTTTGTGTTTGGTTCGTGTGTTTTGCGGGCGTTTTTAAAATTCGTGTTTCATTGTTTAGGCTAAACAGTGAATGCGGGGTAATAGACGCGTATCACGTTTAGGAGGTAATATTTCCTTCTCTGCCCTGCGAACTCTCGCTTGCGCTGGTTCTTCGCTTGTTCCTTCTTGCCGTAGCTACTGAGAAGAACGGCTTTTGGTAAAAAAAATTTGAGCTCCCTTCTCTCCTTTCTCTTCTTCTTCTCCTTTTCTCGTCTTCTTCTCTCTTCTCCCCTTTTGTAATTGTTATTGTTCTTTTTAACTATTAGGAAAGTAATGCTTGTAATATTTTAAGCAATTAGGGAAATACATTATGAACTCACTGTTTTAATTTGTCACTTCTAGAGGTTAATTATGGCTACTGTTAATAAATTTCCCATTAATGCTTCTGCTATATATGAGATGATAAATTAATTTTTTGTGACTGCAGTTTCTTTGTGCACCATTGCACAACTACAGTTTGAATATATGAGTAAAGAGAAAGGAATAAGAAGGAAAGGAAGAACAACACAGTATAAGCAAAACCCCTACAAATCTGCAGTTATGTTAGTTTGAGTACCTCTCTTATGGAATCATTTATACTGCTTAGCTTCATGTAGTCCAAGCAATCTTATTGTTATATGTGGATTGCTTTATGGGGGTAATTATGGCTATAGTATACTTTGGCTACACTATACTTCAGTAGATGTGACTTTATGGTGGGTAATTATGGCCTGAACTATATATTGTTGCTTTTATTAACAGCTTTGAGCTCATTTTATAATTACTGTGGATATAGGGCTAATTATGACCTGAATTATATATTGTTGCTTTTATTAGCAGCTTTGAGCTCATTTTATAATTACTGTGGATATATTTCTTTATGTGGCTTTATGCAGGTTAATAGGTTCACCTTTTATACGGCAGAGCATTTGAGATTAGAGTACTTGTGTTAATAGCTGCACCATCTGGAAAATTTGGTAATGTTTGCACTAGTATAAATCTGTGACGTTGATATTACATTACCACAGCAGGGGGGAGATGGGAATTTGTAACTTTAAACAGAAAGTTGTACTTTACATAAGCATCTTGTTTACCATTACATAAGAGATAATGATTGCACTTGTTACCAGTTATATCCCACCATGTTTTTGTGTTGAATCAGGATAAGTGGTAATGGTTGCATTAGTGACCAGCTATATCCTTGGTTAAGCATGTATAGCTTCACATTTCTTTTGGTTAGGAAATAGAAAATCTGGTGGCTATTTTGCTTCCCAAAAACAATATTACATTGGTTCTTGATATTATTATATTATGGTTGACATTGCAGTTATGGTTTTTTGGGAGTTCTATTCCAGATATGGATGATTTTAATGTGTTCTAGGAAAATGTTTAGGCTGTGATGAGGAAAAGGGATGCTTTAAGTTTTTGGGTTGTTATGCTCTAGTTTTTAACCAGGAATGGTTGATTTATTGTTTAAGCTTGTTTAGAAATGGTTGGTTTGTTGTTTTTAACTAGAAATAGTTATTTTCCAGAGCAGAAGAGCTACTTCTCACCAGTGTTTATTTTTCAAGTTCGATGGATGAATGACATGCCCTCTGAGAACAAAAATGACATTGGGCTTCGGTTTAACATGTATTGTTACACCTCTTATGAGGGTATTAATGAATGATCCAATGCCTGAACTCTTTTCTTTCTTCAACAACTGTCTGTATGAATATGGGGTATGGGGTTGTTGGATGGATTGGTTATTACCTGGTAAATTGGTTTGTTGCATTGGTTTGATATTCCTTTTTAAGCATAGTTTCATTTGGTTTTCATTCTTAAGCAGCGAGGAAAATGGAGTCTTTATTATGATAATTGAGGAAATGGTAAAGTTGTTTCATTTCAATATTGTGAACGTAGCAGTAAATAATGGATGTCGTGGTTAATGATGAGATTATTCATTTTGTTTTGGTTAGAAGGATACAAATGTTTGTGAATCAACAACCAAAGAAGTGTATGAAGGTTAGAAGGTTACTTCGCATCTAGATGATTTTAGAATTGACATACTTTGCTAAGTATATTCCATATTTTCCCCAAATTTTTTACTGATCTACTATCTTCTTAATAGTTGCAGGATGATGAGTTCTAGATATTCAGGGAAGTGCGGGCAAGTGATGTGTCGATGTGGACTACCAACCTTGCTACTCACGTCACGCCAGCCACATAGCTATGGTAGATAGTTTTATAGGTGCCCGCGGTGGGCACAAGGACAGGAAGACTGCACTTTCTTCAGGTGGGCCGACAATAATTCTCTTTCTATGATATCCTAAGTGGACACCAATGCTCGGAGTTCGTCGGTATCACAATTTCAGAACACTGCTTATGGTGTGAGTGCTTACATTTCTACGGTACCCCAGTTAGACAGGTTCCATCAGGGTTTTAGTGTGTTAGAAACGGGTAGCATGGGTCGTGATATGCTACTACATTTTAAAGTCAATATAATAATTTTTTTCCTTGCAATTTTAACATGTTATTTTTTCTTCTTTTTAGGGTTTCATTATATTACATATCAGTATGTTAAGTTTTTCAATTTTGTTTGGGTAATTGTGCTTCTATGATGTGATCTGAAATATTTAAGTGATATAAATATTTTATATTTTTATGTCTTCACATTTGAACTTTAATATAAAGAATATTTTTTATTTTCATGTTCCTATAATTCACATTTTTCCTTCTTTTATGATTGCATTAAGAAGGTTGGTAAATTTGTAAAAAAAAATGCAAATAAGTTGTTTGCAAAACGCATAAAACAAACAGCTAAAC